TCTTTGTATATTTTGGATATTAGGCCCTTATCGGAGGCGTTGCTTGCAAATGTGTTTTCCCATTTGGATGGTTCTCTCTTTACCTTGTTGATGATTTCTTTTGCTGAGCAGAAGCTTTTTAGTTTGATGTAGTCCCATTCATTTATTTTAGCTTTTACTTCCCTTGCTTTTGAGGTCAAATTAATAATCTCAAAATCATTTAAATTCACTCCCTATGTAATCTCCATTTGTATTTATCACTCCTGTTCTGCTCCTGATTCATGTCTAGTTGCTCCCACTTGGCCCCAAAGTACCCCCATTCAGTCATACTTACCTCAGATTTACTACTTTTTACTCACATTGGGTCCCACTTTCCCCACCTTACTCACTTTGGGCCATGTGAATGGACTTTCATCCCCTCTCCCTTTGCATCACAATACCCAGTCACTCATCTTCCTCTGCTGTTCCATCCCTCCTCACCTTGCCCAACATTATTACCTCTATTCATGCACATACTCATTCACCTGGGCTGATACACACTGGGATCACTGTACATCCCTGAAACATTGCCCTGCATTACCTCTATCTAATCCCAGCCTGCCTCTCATTCACCTTTTCTCATTCTCCCTTATAGTATCCCCACTCAAATCTGATTCATGTATTCACATTCTAACATGTATTCATCTCCATTCCCTCTTATTCTGTCCCTTGTGCACCCCATTCTTCCCTCTATGCCCCGCATTACCTTATTCACTCCTACTTCCCCCTGAAATTCACCTCTTAATCATACTGTGCCTCATAAACCATCATTCATTCGCACTGTAGTCCTTAGTACTTATAACAACTCCATTCACATTCACCGCCTTTCATTGCCATGTTTACTCACAATCTGCTTCCACTTTCATTCTTTGTCACGTAGACAGTGTCTCTTTTTCTCATTGTTTACTCAGTCTCATCCATAATTTCAAATTAAGGCAAAATGTAACACAGTTACTCCCTCGTTCTTTCCACACTACTCACATTTACTCCAGTCTACTGCTCATCCACCTACATTCCATAGCCCTTTGTCTCTCTAAATTCACTCCCAATTTGTCCTTCATTCACCATTATTCATCACCCCACCCCCAGTACCATATGTCTCCCATTTAATGATACTAACATCAGCCAAGACAGAAATGTCTGATGTATCATTCGGGGTTCAGTTTGGTTGCACAAATCAACACCACCATAAATATCAGTGGTTTCAAGAGGATGGAAGGGGATTCCTCTCTGGGAGGCAGGTACTTCAGGGCAAGTGTGGCAGCTCCAAGGTCACTAGAGAACTGGCTCCTTCTGTGCTGTCGTTCCACCAAACTCACCTGCTACCTCATGGTCCAAAATGACTGCTCACAATTGGCAACACTTTCATAGTTTTGATAAAATGTATCTTAAAAGCAATTGTAATGATGATGCACTAGCAAGGTGGGGGGCCTTCAGGTGGGAGTGTTACATGTGCTGACTCTGTGGTGGGACCAGCTACCTGTCAGCTTTCCACACCACTTCATCTAGTTACCTGCTGCTTGGACCACTATATGAGGAGGTCTCACCTGTAAGGACTGATGGTAGAGGATGCCCAGGACAGAGAGTGGGGGCCTAGCTCCATAGCAGAAAAGCTTGCCTCACATAGCTTGTGAATGTGCACTATGAACCCTGGGAAAGTTTTTGAGGGGCTGTATCCCTGGCTCAGGAATATTTCTGGAGCTGGCAGTCACTGTACCTCAACAACCACCCACCCTAAAGGATTTCCTCCCTCCACATAGGTGCGTGCGTGCGTGTGTGTGTGTGTGTGTGTGTGTACAAGGTGGTGGGGAAATGATGTTTGCAGGCTGGAAGAGGCCAAACTTAGATGGGCCCTAAAGGTCCAGCCCCTCCTATTTTCCACTTCCTAATGCATTCGGAGGTCTGACAAGTTTTGTACCCAGGAAGTGCTGATCCTTCAGGGAGCAAGAGATCCGAGTTACTCCCTTGCTTTCTCTTTTTGCTTTGTATGCTAGGAAGCTCCATCTATATTTCTGGTAAAAACATTCCTTGGCTAGTTTTATTGGTTCTGGATTGAGGACCCCAGATACATTCAGGAAGTTCTGTGGGATATTGAATAAACGAGAGTATTATTGGGTGGAAGTTAAGGATCTGACCTTGGAAATCTGTGTGACATTGGGCAAGTTATTTAGTCTCTCTGGGACTCAGTTTCCTCATCTGAGAAGTGGGAACTATAGGACTGTTCACAGATAGTGGAGACTTTCTGAGGCAGGTCATGTCGTGGTGCTTCACATAGTGCCTGGCATGCAGGAGATAATGAACTAGGTCTGAGCCTCAATTATCACTTGCTGGGCCCGTTAGCAGGAGCCTCCTCACAAGTCTTCCTGTTTTCACCCTTGCCCTCTACAGTCTGATCTCTACAAAGAAGCCTGCAGATCATCTTTTAATTTTTTTCTTCTTATTAAAAAATTTTATAAATACACAGTCTAATTTTTAAAAAATCATCATCATTATCATAATTTATAAAGCACTTGCTATGTGCCAGAAATTGTTCTAAATCTTTTACAATTAACTCATTTGTTACCACAACCCTACTGTCTTTACCACCGTTTTATAGATGAGGAAACAGCATAGAGAAGTTGAGTCCTGCTCTAGGTTACACAGTTGGTAGGTGGGGTCTTGAAACCAGGCTGTTTCCATCATGTTCCGTCATTTTTGGGGGGGGGACGGGGGTGTCTGTTTTCTTCCCTGCTGTATTCCCAATGTCTAGCACACTGCTGTATAGGAAGTACTTAAGCAAATTCCTGTGTAGCTTATGTCCTAGTGGTGCAGGACAGACAATAAACGGTCAAATATATGTCTATTTTTAATATTAATATATAATGCTAGATCATTTCAGACTGGTATTTTAAAAATCTGATCCCTCTAAGAAGTACAAATTGGTAGCTATGAATAGTCACAGGGATGTAAATTGTGGCATGGAGAATATAGTCAATAATATGGTTATAACTATGTGTAGTGCCAGGTGGGTACTTGATTAACTGGGGGGTAGGGATCAATTTATAAATTATATAAATATCTAACCACTATGCTGTACACCTGAAACTAATATAAAATAATACTGAATGTCAACCATAATTGGAAAAAAAATTAAAGGTGAATAAAAAGGTGAAGGGGGATAAGAGATTCAAATTTCCAGTTACAAAACAAATAAGTCATGGGATGTAATGTACAGCATAGGGAATATAGTCAATTATATTGTAATAATATTTTATAGTGTCAGATAGTTACTAGACTTATCATGGTGATAACTTCTTTAGGTATATAAATGTTGAATAACTATGGTGTACACCTAAAACTAATAAAATACTGTATGTTAGCTATATTTAAAAAAATTTTTAAAGAAAAAATAATCTAATCTCTCTTATGGCTTCCCATTATGTCCAGAATGAAACGAGCTCAGTCCCTGGCAGAGGAGGCCCTACAGCATCTAGCCCCCAATCACCTTTCCCTTGCCTACACCTCCTACACTCCCAACACAATGACATGCCAAATTAGGTCCTACTTCAGGGCCTTTGCAACATCCGTGCCCTCCACCATAAAGCTCTTTGCTCAGGTATTTGTGTGGCCAGCTCCTTTTGGTCCGCATAACTGTCACCTTCAATGTAAGGAATTCATCCCTGATCATCCAGAGGAAGCAATCTGTCAGCCTCTACTTAACACATTCCCTTCACTCCGGAGTGTGTGTGTGTGTCTGTTCTATGTCATCGTTTATTTATTCTTCAGTTTCTTGTCTGTCTGCATACCGTCCTTCAAAAGCTTGACAGTCAGCTCTCAGCTTTAGCCACTGGATGGACACCTGCAAACCCAATGCTGTCCTTTCAAGTTCAGGACACCAAAATCTTGCCGGATAGAACTTTCCTTAATTGGGCACTTACCCTCCCCGCCATAAGGAAATTGATCTTGGAAGTCTTGGGATTGACGATCTCCGCAGAACAAAGTAAACACCTGCTCAACACGTATGCCCCGGAGGGGAATAGACACGCGGCCACCTCCTTGGAGCAGTGACGTCACTGGCGCGGCCATCTTCCCTCCGCGACTGCACTGCAGCCGGGTAGCTCTCAGTTTGGGCCCACGGGAGGGGGCCGCATGTTGACTATTGGAGGACGCGGTCTCCAAGCCCCCACTGAGCGTGCGCACACTCAGCCCCTGCAGTCCTGTGGGCTGTGGAGCCTGAGTCGGTCCCAAAGCGGAAGTGCTTCTCGGGGCCAGTTTTTATAACGGTCCCCTCTGCAGCAAGCAGAAAATCTGTTGTTCAGAGGAGGAAGAGAGAGGGAGGGAGGGAGAGAGAAAGACAGAGAGAGACAGAGGGTGGTTAAGGGGGCGAGTGCTAGGGCTGATGCGCTGAGTGATGGATGGGGAGTTCTGGGGGATGAGTGAAGAGGGGTTGTGGGGTGATAGGGGACTGAGAGGTCAGTGATGGGCAAAGTTATGGGACTAGACAAGGTTGAATGGGGCTTATTACACGTTGACTTTTACACATTTTCCGGCACAGTGACTTGCACTAAGGGTTCATAGCACCCCTCAGGCCCCTCCTTAGGTTCGCCCCGTCTCTCCCTCTGCCCTTCTTCCCTTGCTCAAGCCCCAAGGCAGGGGCCTGGTATGAATGCTCCAGCTGAAGTGAATCTGCACCTGAAGGCTTCCTTCCGGCTCCTGGGTAAGACGGCCCCAGTGAGGTGAGGAGAAGGAAAAACAGACACCTGAAAGGACTCACCTACCTAGTGGCCTTGCGCAGAGCCTGGACTTTGGGAAGG